CTAGCAAAAATTATAGAATGGAATAAATATTTCGAAATATATCACGATGAATCGTATAAAAAAGGCCCCGGAGTTGTACAGAATTAGTCAGTGGAAACAGTTTTACCTTTTACTTTAATAAAAGATTTTTGTAAATTAAGAACTATAATAAGAATTAATTATAGAAATCTTAAACAAGAAAACTATAAAATATTGAAAAGAATGCCTTCTGAAAATGGTGATTGTCGAAAAAAAATTAAAAAGTTAAGTAAGATAATCACATATTAAAAAGTATAGCTCATTAATTTGTTAAATAAATATTAGACAAAAGACTTGTAAATTTATTGACGTACAGTACACTTATTAAATCCGAAAATTCTACAGTAGTTTACATTTAGTAGTAATTTAATAATTAATTAAGAAATGATTTAATATTTTATCGTATTTTGTTATTTGAAAGGTCTGTCATGTTGAAGTAGAGGACTTGCTGTGACGTCACATAGATCCAAGTTCATGCTAACAAATATACGGGATCTGGCTATCCTTGTAGTTTAAAGTCCTTGGGCCATACGTCCATTGATATTTATTTGGTAGCATTTAAAATATGTGTGTGTGTGTGTGTAAAATATTAGATTTTTTATAACAAATTTTTTAAAAATAAAATCGTAGTAAAAATTTATGAATTTGAAATATAATGACAAAAAAATATAATTATAATAATTTTACAGCAAAGGGATGGCAACATGGAGTTAAACCTAAAGCACATGGTTTCGACGTGATGGGAAGTTGTTTATGTTCTATCTTGTATACGTTATTTTAAATTTAAAAATGTACGAATCACAGGAGTCAAAAACGAACCTTTCAAAAAATCTGTTAAAAATGAAGGTAAGTCAATTAAAAATCATCACCGATTGTTTTTATGCGATTGAACTTTGAAAATGATCGATTTGTCAAATTATTAAGTGATTATTTATGTAAGGGATTGATCGTAATTATTCGTAAATTGCTATTAATATTTCTAATCGAGTTTCCGATCGTCTTTCTTTATATATTTGGATATTTAAGGCAGACAAATGCCGATCGTGTGTAAAACCACATGTTTTTTTTAATCTGTCATATTTTAGTCCTATGAGAACATCCATTTTCCAATGTAGATTTTCTAAATTATATTTTGTCAAGTGTACTTAATTATTCTTTAATTTTTTTTGTTTAAATTCCAAAATCAAAAAAATGAAGCAATTAAACTCCAGTATAAAGTGATATAACGCCAGTAAAAAAACAATAGCTGACAAAACGTTAAAACTGAGGGATAGCCACAGTGGCAAGAATATTAAGGATGGTGATGTAAGAAATAGTCTGGTTTAATTCTTCAATCAGCTAAATGAGATTTGATAAACAGAAAAAAACCTTTACCAGCAACACTTTTAATTATTGAAATCAAACATTTTTGGCTTCACACTAGTACAGGTATACTTCAGGTTACGTTGTTTTCAGTTAAGTCATTATCGGTTCTACATCGTTTGTCAAAAAAATATATGGAAATATAAAAATAAAGTTTAAGTCATTTTATTTGACTTTACATCTGTCTGCCACAAATACTGAAGTTGTAATATCACTAGAAAAGCATTAAAAGCACATAAAATCAAATTAAAATATGTACAGTAAATGTTAATATGATCATCATAAATCCTAGAGAATGAAACATGAAAACATCTGTGACTCTGTGTTGTTGTCTTATTTAACGGTCTTTAAGAGCTCAATATTGGCATTTTCCACGGTAGTTCCAATATCTACTGTTTGGCATCATTGTCAGCACCACTCGATATTGGTAAATTTAACATAAATTAGTTTATTTTCTACTATTGCAAAATAATTTTAATAACTGTACTTGTTATTTAACCTTACAAAATCATCTTATTTTATAATGTCTTAGAGCAGTGTTTCTCAATGGGGGCGATATCGCCCCCATGTGGGCGTTTTTCCATGTTGAGGGGGCGATTAGTAACAATTTATATTTTGGGGGGCAAAAAACAATTTTCTGGGCAATATAGTAAAACGTTATATTAAGAATAATTAGATATTTTATTCGTTATATCGTACAATAATTAAACAAATAACATTATACTAGTCACTAGTCTATTCAATGCAGTACGAATTTGGCGTTAGCCTTGG